GTGAATGTAAGATTTGAGGCTTTCACGGCGGTGACTATGAAGAAAGCGGTCTTCTGGGATTTGGCACCGTGTATAAGTGGTGTTAACCGACGTTTCGGAGGAAGGTATCGCCTCCATCTTCTACCCTGAAGATGGAGGCGATATGTTCCTCCGAAACGTCGGTTAACACCACTTATACACGGTGCCAAATCCCAGAAGACTGCTTTCTTCAAGATTGTGAATATTTGATGACAGAATGCAAGGGATAATCATTTCTCACTTGGTGTGTAACATCTGCAGTATAATTAGCAGGGCAAAAATGGATTTGTATGTGGATTAAAATAACATCAGAACCAGCGAAGTGTATTACTGAATCACAAAGAATGAATTTGGAAGATGTGTATGTCATGTGTTGGGGATGTCTGTCATCAGTTTGTTACAGATCATCTTAGTTTAAATATCTGTCTGATTCTTATTTTCAGGTTACAGTTGGGCTTTAGTGAGAATGAAGTTCTGCAAATATTCTGTGATATGTGTGAGGCTGTATCCCGGTTGCATCACTGTCAGACTCCTATAATTCATAGGGACTTAAAGGTGACAGTTTTATATAATGCATTCTTCATATGTCCACTTCTTCCTCTTTGCATGTGCCACCCTCCTTATAGCAATTACACACTACAGTTTATGTTATTTAAACTAACATAATGTAATCTGATGGATTTTGTTTAGATTTTCGACACTAATTTTTTTTTAAAATATATAGTAGTGTTTGTGAGAAGGTTATGCTGTGAAACACTCTCCTCTGTGTGCAGAAACCCACTCTTCTCTCATTTGTTCAGAAAGGTAATGCCACTTTTCTGTCCTCTAAATTTCCTTTCCTTTGGTTCCTGTGTATTTTATATGGCTCATTGCTTAAGCTCAAGGTCAATTTTGCGTTACCAATTTAGCTTTCTACTTGTTTAATGTGATACCTAACATTTGTTTCAATACCACCTTCAGCTAAAGACATCAGTCAAAAAATATAAATTTATAAGCTCTCAGATCTGAATTTTATAAAAATCAGTTTTCTTTGTTCAATTAAAAATATTTTATTTTCACATCACCTAACCTAGAACATATAAAACATGCATCTGTACTGAGTGACTTGTGGTGTAGTGGTCAGAGTTCCTGCCTACAGATCCATAGGTTGGGGGTTCGATTCCCTGCCCTGCCAGATTTTCTGAGAAGTAATGGGACTGGAACGGGGTCCACTCAACCTTGTGGGGATAATTGAGGAGCTATTTCAAGGAAATAGTGGCTCTGGTCTATAAAACCAAGATTAATGGCCGTGGGGATCTGTTGCGCTGACCACGTGACACCCTCTATCCACAAAAGTTGGCACTAACCTTGTCAACAAGTGGTGGTCGCTCAGTTGGTATAGTTCTCTTCCGGACTACAGGCCATGGAGCTTGTTTTTCTATACCGAGTGTCTGGTGGCTTGTGCAGTTTCTTGAGAATCTGCTTCCTGAGGTAATCCTAGCCGGGAGTTTCAAATGAATACAAGCCCAGTTCACAGTGGTTGCAGAGCTATGGGTGATTGCAATTCCTGATGATTTGAACTGACATAATTAAGCTTTACTGAAAGAAATCTAATGTTGTATACTGGACAGTAGAACTCTTCATAACCACTGCTGTGAGAACCTTAAATGCTACATAGAATTTTCTAACCATGTATTACCCATTTACTCTGAGTTTTGATTATACTTTATTTGAAACATGTATAAAGATGTTTAGAACCTCAGACATTAAATCTTAGGATTCATCATCATCATCAGTAATCTGTCAGATGACAGGTCAACAGTCTCATCCAAAAGAATTCCTCCACTTAATGCTATCTAGAGCTTTCTCCCTCAAATGGCAATATCCTCTTCTGTCCCCAAGGTCATCCAGCATCTTCTTACGTCTTCTTCCACGTCTTCTTGTCACTTCTATCTGTCCCTCTATCCTTCCTTCAATAACTTCTTTTAGAAGGCAGTTCCTGCGTAAAACATGACCAATCCAATTAGCCTTCCGTTTTCTTATTTCGTATAGGATATTCCTCTGCTCACTGACTCTAATTAACACTTCTTCATTTCTCACATAATTGGTCCATTAAAAATGAATAATAATATGTGTTTTAGTTTTTCTTTTCTGTACTTTGAATGTGTTAGTGGATTTACACAGTCAACACTCACACTTCCCACTTTAATTTCATGAGTGCTTTTTATACGTACCATTGTGTCTTTTCTTCATTGCATAACTCTGCTTATCAAGAGAAATTGTCCAGCTACTCCCTCCCACACAGATATTCCAAATGCATACCATTTCAGTGTTTGTTCCGTGGTGCTAATGCGGTGGTGTTGTTGTCTGGCTGTGAAGGTGGAGAATATTTTACGGAGTGACAGTGGCCATTACGTGCTGTGTGACTTTGGGTCTGCAACAGGAAAAGTGCTTAACCCCCAAGTACAAGGTGTTTCAGCTGTTGAGGAGGAGATAAAAAAGTATACTACCCTCTCATATCGTGCTCCTGAGATGGTCGACATGTACTCCGGTAAACCCATCACCACTAAGGCTGACATTTGGGTAAGTAGCATTAGTTAGTTGTTAGCCTGTTACAGGGATAGCTTTACTTTTTTATTCCATAAACGTGTATGAGTATCGTTTCAGGTTTTTTCATGGCAATTATTGTTCAGATTGCAGTCTTCTTTTGGTGTGATACCATATAGTCTTATAGGTGGATACCAGTGTTTTGGAGGAATGTGCTGTTTCCTTCTTCAGGGTTGTAGCCTGTAGGGTGAAGATATGGTTCAGTTATACAGGCAGGTTTCACGGAAGATGGCCACTCCAACTTACGGGAAGGGATAAGGAAATACAACGTAGTTTGGGCCAATGGGAATGGTAGGTAGGTAGGTAGGTAGGTAGGAAGATGGCCACTCCATCTTAGAACCTAGTTTGGGCCAATGGGAATGGTAGGTAAGAAGATGGCCACTCCAACTTAGAACCTACTTTGGGCCAATGGGAATGGTAGGTAGGAAGATGGCCACTCCAACTTAGAACCTAGTTTGGGCCAATGGGAATGGTAGGTAGGAAGATGGCCACTCCAATCAAGAACCTAGTTTGGGCCAGTGGGAATGGTCAGTAGGAAGATGGCCACTCCAACTTAGAACCTAGTTTGGGCCAATGGGAATGGTAGGTAGGAAGATGGCCACTCCAACTTAGAACCTAGTTTGGGCCAATGGGAATGGTAGGTAGGACGATGGCCTGCGTCAGGATTGCAGTATTGCTTTTTAATACTGGAGAGAAACGGAATTGTGAGAATCTAAGCTCAGGTACCTGCTTGTAAGGGGCAGTAGTGATCTACCTCTACCCTAACAGCATCAACAGGGACAGGTTCTCCCTGAGCAGGTAATGGAATCCTCTTATCCACTCCCTGAGGGAAAGAAAGAACGTTCTCTCCTTCAAGGTCTAGTTAGGTCACTCCTCCTGAGGTGACACTCCCAAACTAGGGCCATTGAAGAAAGGGCTGACTTCTCATTTACCATCCACAGCAGCCCTGAAAAGGACTGTTCTGTCTCACAGTTCAGATTTCTTTCTGAGAAAAAAATATTGATCATGAAAACAATTGTTTTCTTAACATTTCCTTCTGACCTAGACAAGGCTCCATTTTCCTACCCCCTCCATGGGCCTGAGTGACTGCCTTGGTATTTTTTTTTATTGCTAGTGGGGTGGGACTAAGTCCCTTGTACTGCGGCCACTTCTGGCCTATTGTACCAGCCCCAGATGATAGGTGAGGGTGATTGTGGAGCAGTTGGTGGAATGAAGATTGACAGGGGAACCGAAGTACTCAGAGAAAACCTGTCCCAGCGCCACTTTGTCCACCACAAATCTCACTTGACCAGACCCGGGATCGAATCTGGGCCGTCGCGGTGGGAAGCCAGCAACTAACCACTTCAGCTATGGTACGGCCCCGACCACCTCGGTAAAAACCTGCACTGTATTACTGAGCCACTTCTTCACCCTATATGTTTCCACCCTGAAGATGGGAATAACATTTTCCTCCAAAACATTGATATCTGTCCATGAAATTACATGGTGTCATTATCTAGAAGACTATACCTCAAAGTTCTGTATTTTTTTATATCCAATAAAACGTCAGTTTTTTTAGAGGAGAGAGGATATTGAAGTTACTTTACGAGCTGTTTTATCTGAAGTTTGTAGATTCTTTTTATATGATTTTGGTCTGTGCGGTGTTTTTCAGGATATCGCTTCCATGTATGACAGGGCCAGCTGCATTTCTTCTATCCTATTTATGAAGTCTGAATTTGTTGTAATAAAATGAACGCATTGTTTACACAACCCAGCTAATAATTTAAGAAACAGTTTGTACTGTGTGAGATTTGTTATACTACATTTAAACCTGAACAGTGTTATGGTTTGATTTTTAGGCACTTGGCTGTTTATTATACAAGCTCTGTTTCTTCTCATTGCCGTTTGGAGAGAGTTCACTTGCCATTCAGAGTGGAAACTTCACCATTCCTGACAATTCAAGATATTCCAGAGGGATGCATTGCCTAATTAGTAAGTTTGGAGTTACTTTCGCGCTAGCTGTGGTGTGTTTAATTATGTACATTATGTAAGAGAGTAGAAATGAATTTGTAACTTTGGGCCATTACACATACATTTTTGAATTTAAGTTTTGAAACAGCTTGCTAATATTTATTACATAGTTTGGCTTTGTGTCTCAGAACTTAAAACATGAAGATTAAAATATATTGAATTCTGGTTAAAGAGTTCCTTGGTAAGAAGTTTTGCCGTATATAAAGTTTGTGTTTTGAGGTGCTGCTGTAGTACTGATAGATCACAGAAGGCATAAACATTGTTAAGGTAGTTTATAGTTTAAAGTGACATCAGCAGTTGTCGTTTCAGTTTTTTATCATTCATTATTCTTTAGGAACATCATCCACGTAAATCTTTATTTAACCCTTATTTCCATTCAAGAGGTTCTACAGAGTTGGTCCCCTCAAAATGTAATACATTTTTGTTTGTTGTTGGATTTGAGGTTCTGGTAGTGGTGACTGAAGAGTATAGTTTTCTTGGTTGTAGTGTCGTGTAGTTTGGAGAGACCCCTCTCTGAGCTACGTGGTGTTAACAACCTTGGAACTGTATCCTTTTAAATGCCTTAACCACCATATAATTTTTTTTAAAAACATCTCAGGTTCAAAACATGAAAATATGTCAGACTAGTCATAAAATCTTATGGTATTTGTCTGAGATTTACGTGGTCAGAGCTTCGTTGCTCTGACCACGTGACACCCTCTATCCAC